TGTGGTTGTGGGAGCGGGAGGAATCATAGTAAGAAGGGGCAGCGGGAACGAAGGGGTTCACAAACAGTTGTCACTCATGCGGGCCGGGACTTTCCACATGGAGTGAGGCCAGCGGAGGCTCGGGTGTCAGTGCTGTGTACGTGCCAGGAGACGTGCCTGTCCCACTGAGATGTGCAGTGGCAGCTGTGGGGAGAGGCCAAGAGGACTGTGGGAGTGGAAAGGCCGGGTGTCCTGGTGGAGGTGGGACAATGAAATCCCTGGGGCAGCGAGCAGTGGAGTGAGAGCATCCCAGCTCTGGAGGGTCCCACCACAGTGCTGGCCTTTCAGTCCCTGGGTATGAAGGAATAAAAATGTTTAAAAGCTGCCAGTTTTATCTCAACTCCCCAAGATCCCCCGCCAGTGGTGGGAACAAAGCCCTTAAAGCTGTCCCAGGAGACAGCCCCGGGCAAAGAGCAAGCTGAGCAAACAGTGCTCTGACAGTTAAGAAAACCAGGATATGAGATTACCAGATGGGACTGTTGACTAAGCTTTAGCCCTGTCAGGAAACATGTTATTAACGACCACCTTTGGAATTCCTTTGTTCCCCTCTTCCCCACTCCGTGTGTAACCCCTCCCGATGTGTAGTTTTTGCCTATATATACTTGTAAGACTTTCTGCTCGGGGCTCGACTCCTCTGCTCCTGCGTGAGTTACGAGTTGAGCCCCAGCGCGCTGGAATAAAGCCTCTTGCTGTTTGCATCAAGTGACGCCTCTTGCGGTTGATTGGGGTTGCCGTCGATCCAAGGGACAGAGAAAGGACTCCCCTGGGGTCTTACACCACAAACTCAAGATAGCAGAGCTGGGTGCTGCCACTGGAGGTCCCCCTGTTGATGGCAGTCCCTGCCCGCTGGCTCCTGCTGTGCATGTCTCCTGCTGACCAGTCATGACGTTATGGTGTCCAGGCTAATTTGCATATTCCTCTATTATGTAGGATAGAATTGTGAAATGATCATCACAATAAGTCTAGTTAAATATCTGTCACATACATACTTACAGAATATTTTTTTCTTGTAAAGAGAACTTTTAAGACTTACTCTTAACAACTTTCAAATCTGATATATATTACTAACAGCAGTCATCGTGCTGTAGGCTGCATTTCCATCACTTATTTTATATCTGGAAGTTTGTACCTTTTGACACCGTTCATCCATTTGTCCCCCACCACACCCCCATACACCACTCCTGCAACCTCTAGTAACCATCGGTCTGTGCTCTGTATCTATGGACTTGCTTTTTTCATGGAGCCACAGATAATTGAGAACACATGGCATTTCTCTTTTTCTGACTTCCTTCACAAAGCATCCTGCCCTCAAGGACCATGAATGTGTTGTTACAAAGTGGCAG